AAAAGTTTGTTTCCCATGGGGGTAATTTGTTGTTATATCTCTGGATATTTGGTAGCTGAATCAATAAATAGGTCTGTGCCTAAATACTTGATTCAGGGAGATAGCCATTGCATATGTGAAAGCAAGCACTTTTGAGAACCTAATAGTAAAAATAAAAATTATAATACTGGAAAGATATACATAGAATTCAATGCAACTATGTATTTTGTTTAAAAATGGATTACATTCCTTCTGCCTTGCATGTGTTTAGTTTGTGCTACTTGCTAGTTACAGTTCTTTTGTCATAAAAATATATTATTTATTCAAATAAAATATTTAAAAGCATTAATTTCCTATTAATAGCTAATACAATAATTTAAAAGGCAGCAGTAATTAAATACCTACTATTCAGTTTACAATTTACTTTAGATGTCTAGAGTATATGCACATAAATATGTACCAAAAATATTTAAGAGGGGAGCTTTTACTAGAATAGTGCTTCCTTCAACTGTTCTCACCGTTGTTGATTCCATCCAAATGCAATCTGTACATGAGCATTTGAGGACAATTACAATACACACTTATAACTTCCATACCCCTGTTTGTTCCAGCAGATGTCCATTTGCTAAGAGTGCACTAAGAGAGAGTTCACAGTTGTCAGTTCTCCTCACATGGGTAGACTTGCCAGCTTCTTTTAATTCATACCTTCTCCTGGAAAATGTAGCCACTGTTCTCTGCCTCATGTTTGATACTTCAGATCTCAGTAAAATCAGCAGCAGCAGAGTGAGTTAGAGAAACTCAGTTTTTAACTGAAAACCAGCTATTGACCTTTACCTCTTACTATTTTCTTTTGCCAGATGATAAATAATAGCAGTTGTGATCTTTCTTTTAAGTCCATGTTTTTAAAAGCTATTTTAAAAGGCAATCACTAAGGATAGAAATAACTGTGAAAAGTGCTTATTTCTCAAGCTCCATTTCTCCTTTAATACTTACAGGTATATTCACCAGGCTGATGGGTTTGTTCAGCTCTAAAACCGTCAGGTTAATGTAGAAATTATACATCATTTTGCTAATGTTGCTCTAGTTAATGACAACATATCTGTAACTAATAGGATTGAATTCCTACGAGGTCAAAACATTATTAGTGACTCAGAAACAGCCTCATAAAGTAAAAGGAGTGTGCTGGGACTTTATAAGCCTAAGTTCCAAAAACTTAAGTAACAAGGTAAAGATGGACAGAAGGTTGACTTATATGGTCCTCAGACTCTGTATAGAATCATACAGGCTGGAGTGGGTAAGTTTTTAGTATTTGTTAATTTGCCACCATCAGGAAGCATGGTTGTCCTCTATGGCTGCTGATGAAAGGTAATTTATCATTTTTATTCATACTTTTATTTAGCACTAACTACATGCAAGTGACTATGTCAGAAATTGCATATTATGAAAGTAACAACAAAATTGGGTCCTTTGAAAATTAGTGTTTTGTTAGCTGGCAAATAAGATAATGGGATTTATATTGACATTTTTCTGCATAAAGTACTTTGTTTTTCTCTCATCCATCACTCCACTACCCTCCCCATTCCTCCACCCCTCTCTCTCTCTGCCTCTTTTCTCTCCAAATGACTCCACTTCTGCTATCTCTCATATTCATTCCACAATTGAGAGGGTATATACAATATTTATTCCATCCCATTATTAAGTTTTTGACTTGTCATAGATTGCCATTTGTCTATTAAGATAGGTCACCATAACCTGTCACTGCCTGTATAGACAAAATCCAGGTTCATGAAGTGCTGTCTGAAGACAGGGAAGATGGCAAAACAAAAGATGAGTTTAGGCTGAATTTTGAGGGCTCAGTCTGTTTCACCAAGCTAATTTATCTGGGAACTGCATTCCAGGTGGAGCCACAGATTTGAGCAAATTCACCATCACAGATATCTGAAAAACATGGTGCTATATTCTGTAAAATAGCATACATTAAAGTGAGTGGTAAGGAAAGTTTGCAAAAGTAAGAGCCATTCAGATCAGGGAAAGTCTTTAAATGGAATTCTAACTTTCAGAATTTGTAGACTATGGGTGAGGCTTTGAAGGTTTTGAGAATGGCCTGAGATCACTCTGGAAGCAGCATTCTAAATTGAGTGAAACTGTAGGTGAAATTTTTTTTTAAAAAAATCAATGTTGATTGAGAAATGGTTAGATATTGATTTCAAGGGTGAGAGATAAACAAGAATGTGCTGAACATGGTGTATGATGTTACAGCAAGTGGGTGATGGTATTGAAGATGGAATAAAATAAAACGAACAGCTTGTCTCAAAAAAAGGAAGGAAAGAATGGAGGAAGGAAGAGAGGAAGGAAGGAACTCACCAGTAAAGACAATATAGAGAGATATCATTTAAGAGATGGATTTTGAGAAAACATATAGTCAAAGCCCTGTATCCTTTTAGGAAAGAATGATGGAGCCATCATTGAAAACAGACAGTGTCCGATGTTTAGACTGGAAAGGGCCGGGAATAGTTCCCATGGATCAGAAAACAAGGAAAAGTCACCCAGAGGTGAATCAGAGAATCCATGCAACTCTGCGTAGAGACTAATAATAGTCAGAAATGTCTAGTTGAGCCAATTGGCACAATTTTGTAACTTTTCCTGGTAACAGCCACCTGGTAGTGAGATCAAAGGAAGTGTGCTGGGCTGTTTTCTCAGCATGAAATATATGTAGGAAGGCAATGATCACAATAGACCAAAGGGACTTCCTATGCTTAGATGAAGAGACATGAACTAGTGGGTAACTGATTCACATGTGATCATGCCTTGTGATACTGAAGTGTTGAAGGAATTAAAGACTGACTCCATGTGAAGAATTGATTCACAAAATATGACAGAAAAGGAATGAGAGAGGTAGCAAGGGCCAGAGTAGAATATTTCCAAGTACAGGATTTTAGAAAGAGGGTAGACTTGAGTAACATTCTTACTATCCTTTCACTTGAAGCACACTAATTATCACATTATCCACTACATTTCTTTACTAATTAGTAATTAAGAGCAAGGTTGTTAATGGTCTCTGTGTAAACTATCACAGCCCAAATTCTACTTACTTTGATGGGAGGAAATATGTGGCATAGACAACTAATAAATATAGTCCATGGTTTTAGAATATAAACCATATAGAAACAAGCTATGGCCTATAGGCCATACCTTTTCCAAAAAGTTCTTACTGCATTTGTTAAATTTATTATCTATGAATGTTTTACACTATAAGTCAACATTGAGTGGTTGGAATAGAGATCAAAGTATTTGCTATTGAATCCTGTGCACAAGAAGGGCCCGAGCTTCCTATGACTATGTTCTTATTTTTATTTTTGATGGTCCCTGGATTGAAAGTAGACATTGAGCACACCAAGTATATGTTCTACCACAGAGTATATACCACTAGTCCTTCAGATTTTGATTTTTTAAAATAATTTCAAATTGTTTTATAATTACATCATTTTCCCTCTTCATCTTCCTCCTTCCAACTCCTACCCTACATCCTGTAACTCTCACAAATTCATGTTAATTGTTACATATTTACAAAATGCATAAATACAACCTGCCCAACCTATATTATAGTACCTGTATGTATATTATGTTAGGACTGACCACTTGGTATTAGATGGCCAGCTCGCAGTCTCTCCGCTGGGAAATACTATTCCTCCTACTCTCTGAACTCTGGAATGACTATAGTTCTTTGTCTAGGGTTGAGTCTCCCTGTTCCATGTTACCATGCCAATTGGTCTCATAATTAGTCAGTTAGTCAGTTAAGCAGTACAGTGGTTTGAATAAGAATGGTGCCCACAGGCTCACATATTTGAAAGCAGAGCCATTTGAAAGTATTAGTAAGATTAGAATGTTTGGCCTTCTTGGAGGAAGTGGAGCAGCTTTTGAGTTTTCAAAAGCCCACACCAGGCCCAGTGTTCTTTCTCCCTTGACTAAGGATCAGGATGTAGAACTCTCAGCTACTTCCCTAGCACCTGCCTGCTAGGTCTGCCTGCAAACCACCATGAACCACACTGTAATGATAATGGACTAAACCTCTGAAACCGAAAGCAAGATTTCAATTAAATGCTTTCTTTTATAGGAGTTGCTTTGGCTAACATTAATGCACAAACTGACTTAGTGGAGCCCATTTTATATGTAGAGATATCTTGCCCAGCCCAGACACAGGGATTTCAGGGTGGAGAGGTGCCTTGGTTCTGCCTCAAGGAGATGATGGGACAGACTTAGAAGACTTCCTAGGGGAGGCCTTACCTTCTCTGTGGAGCAGACAGGAGGCGGAGGGAAGTGTAGGGAGTGGGAGGGGGGGACTGGGATTGGAATGTAAAATATATATATTGAAAAAGAGTTGCTTGAACATGATGTCTCTTCATAGCAATATAACAGTGACTAAGACAGAAAGCTGTGTCAATGAGACTTCATCAAAGTGTAGCTTTTCTGACATTTCTAGTAGACAAATCTCACACCAAATCTGCTGTTCCTTTGGCTCTTAAAATCCAACCCCCAATCTCTTCAGTAATGATCCTTGAGTCATAAGTGCAGGAATTGGGTTGCGTGTGTATCAGTTGGGACCAGGCACCGCAGCATCATTGTTCTTTGCGTTTTGATTGGTTTTGGTTTTCTGTAATGGTATCTATTTGTTGCAAAAGGAAGTTTCTCCAATGAGACCCAAGAATTAAATTTATCTGTGAGTATAGGTGTAAACATTTAGAATGCAGTTAAGGATTGTATTGGTTTAATAACATGGCAGTTAGAGAGCTGTTGAATTACTGCCGAGATATGTGTGCCACTATTGCACCCTTAGGGTACTTCTCCATGCTGGTCATCTTTGTGGTTTGATATAAATGTTTCAGACAAGAATCAAAATCCTACTTCTAAACAATTGTTTCTCATTCATTTTATGTCATTCATTTAATACTGTTTCTCTGTTAAATGTCAACCATTGATTATCATTACATTCACCTACTAACTTTTCTTTCCTTCTCTTGTAGTCCCTGCTATGTGGATATTTGTTAGCAATGACTGATGTGGAAACTACATATGCAGATTTTATTGCTTCAGGAAGAACAGGTAGAAGAAATGCAATACATGACATTCTGGTTTCCTCTGCAAGTGGCAACAGCAATGAATTAGCCTTGAAATTAGCAGGTCTTGATATCAACAAGACAGGTGAGTCACTCAGGGTACACCTTTCTAGGCA